GTTCTGTGGTCTGGCAGCAGCACATGGCAGGCTGTGAATACAACTTGTCAATTTATGTAGTTCTCATGCCTCTTCCCTATATCAACCCCACTTTGGTTTCAGGGCTTTTTCTGCCTTTCCAGGGATAGAATCCCCTGGAGTGTGGCCAGGCAGGGAACTTCTGCCAGGCCACCATAGAGGGAGCCCCTGTACTGGCCAGATAGGGACCCCTAACATCCCTTGGAGCGGTGGAACTTTCAACTCCATCATACAGTCTCCTTGCAAAGAACTCAATTTTTGGAAATTCTACTTTAAAAAAAAATCACTGTTTTTTTTCTTCTTATAAATAAGTAATTCATGTATCCTGATTGTAGTGTTAGATATACAAACTTATACGTGTATTAAAATTCACAGAAGCATACACACTCCCCCAAAAGTCAATGTTACTATATAATTTAAAAAACAGAAAAAATTTAAAGTAATACACATCCATTAAAATATTTTACAAATTAAAAAGAATTGAAAGAAGGAAAAAGATTAAATATGTGAGTACTGCATATATATATATGTATATATATAATTTGAATCTCTGCTCTTTTTCATTTAACACAAAATCCATTTTTCCATTTTTTTTGTATGTTACCCACAGCCTCCTTTTAATGTCAATGTGCTATACACTGAGTGGGAGGAAAATGGGTTACTAGCTAGCCAGGATTTGGAGCAGTGCTTGGCACAAGGAACGCTCTCCAACGTGGGGACTATTATTACCATCAGTATTATTACCATAAGTTATTTAATCATTTCCTTCTTGTCAGAAATGTAGGCTGTTTCTAATTTTTACTTTAAATACATCCGGAAAGAACATTTTTGGGTATAATGCTTTTCCTGAATTTTGGAGTGTTTCTTTAGGAGGTTATCCATCTCCAAATAAGTAACATACATGTTATATAATCATGTCTGTCTCTCTAAATGTACACAGGGCTTGGTGACACTGAAGATGACAGGAGCCAGGGGACTTCTCTGGAGACTGAAGCTTGGTGGTCTCTCTATTAGTTCTGTAAGGTGATGTCTGGGTGGCCCAGGCCCTCCTACCAGTCTCTTCCTCATGTACCTTTGACCTCTGCTGCTTTCCTGGCTCTTTCTCCTGAGCCTAGAAATATGTTCGATTCTGTCCTATCTTATGAGAATCTGGCCTCCATCCTGACTGCCTCTCACTCCACCGTCCTCTCCTCTTCCCTTTACCAACACACTTCTCAAAAGAATAAGGCCTCTTTCTGGAAAGCCTACCTCTGGAGCTTCTGGGCAAACTCCTATAATGTCTTCAAGACCCTGTTCAAATGACTCATCTTCTAGGGTGTTCACTCAACTCCCTGATCTGCTACTATTCTAGTGCCCACTACTGGGGACTGTTTGCTGCACAGGGACAGTTCTGTTTATTCTCCTGTCTCCAAGCTCTAGCACCCGGATTGAAACATGGCCGGTGCTTAATGAATGCTGTTGAGGAACTTGATTATGGGGACACTGCGGAGCAGACTAGAGGCTCCATGGATGACCCACTGTGGTGTTCAGTAAACGTTTAGCTTCTTGCCCCATCCCTAAGTCAGACAGTTGTGAGTTTCATTCTAGAGCCCAGAAATGCTGTGCATGCTGGAGAGACTGTGGTGTGATGAGGTTCCTGTCAAATATTCCCCCTGACACAAAAGGCAGAGCAGGCACCACCTACCTCTACTCCTGGGTCACCCTTCTCCCCGGGTTCTCCTTTTTCTCCCTGTGGGTACAAAACACCATGGCATGGATGCCGGCACTCGGGGTAGCCTGGGACAGACACACTCTTAAGTCTTTTAAAACCAAGCCAAGACTAGACTAGGCTTAGGTGTTGGCAAGGAACACCCCTGAGGCTGCGGAAGTGGTCAGCCTGAAGGACGAAGATGGGGCAGGGAACCTGTGATCACCGCCTTTAAGAAGCTAAGGTTCCAGTGTGTGGGAGAAGAGGCTGATATTCTGTATGGGTCCTTTGGGGCACAGGCCCTAGGGCAGACCTGTGACTTGTTTCTAACCAATAGAATATGACAGATGGCAAAGGTGTTAGGATGTCACTTGTCGATTATGTTACAAGCTTATGTTACAAATTATATCATATATGTGGTATACAAATGATAAAATATAACATACTAAGCTTATGTTACAAATATGTTACACACGGAGCTCTGTCTTGCTAACATACTGACAGACACCTTGGCCTTGAAGAAGCAAGCTGCTATAATGTGAACAGCCTACTGTGGGGAAGGCCTGTGGCAGGAAACTGTGGACAGCCTCTAGGAGCTAAGGAACTCAATCCTACCATAGCAGAGAACTGAATTACATCAATAACAGCTAACCTGGAAGAGGACCACAGCCCTAGGTGAGAACGCAGCCAGCTGACATCCTGACTGCAGCCTCATGAGGCCTTGAGGCAGAGGGCCCAGTTGAGATGTGCCTGGACTTCTGACCCACAAAAATTGTGACATCATAAGTGCATATTGTTTTAAGCTGCTAAATTTGCGGTGGTTTCTTAAGCAGCTACAGAAAATAAATACGGCTCCAGAGGCAGAGCGAGGGCCAGTGAGGGGATGTGGATGAAGGAGCTTGCAAACCACATCTGGGAGCACTCCCTCCAGCTTGGAGATGCCTTACGAAGGAGGGGACGTGTCGGGAGGCAGTGAGCTGCTTCCTGTTCTGGTTGAGTGAGGCAGCCACAGTTAGTGGCTGCCGAGGGATTCCTGCACTGGGTCAGAGGTGGAACTAGTTGACCTCTGAGTTCTTCCTTCACAGAAGAGAAGAGTTCTGAGTCCAAGATTCTACTGTATTGGAGCCTAAAGACTGAGGCCACCATGCTGTTTGCTGGGGCAACTGGACTCCCGTTTATACTTAACCGCCCCTCAGAAAGCAGGCTGGGGGTTAGTGCAGCCTCACTGCAGTGCCAGGCACCCACTAGGCTGCTGATCGCAGGGAGGGGCACCCTGCTCATGTGCCCTCGTCCACAGCTGCCTGCTGATAACCTGGATACCCAGCCCCCTCGCCTTACTGTAAATCCCGGGAGCCCGATTGGGCCAGGCAATCCTGTTGCTCCGGGTCTCCCTTGGCCACCTGGTTCTCCTTTCTCCCCAGTTGGGCCATCTAGACCCTAAGGACCGACAAAGATCTCTGTTAGTCAAGTGCAAGGCTGTTACACTGAGTGTCTGTGACCAAATGTGGCATGCACTCATAGCTCCCTTCCTCCAAGGGCAGGTGTCTCGGATGGTGACCATTTCACAGATAGAAACCACTGAGGCCCAGAGAAGGCTCCCAGGTCAAGGCAGTGGCCTAGCTGGAGTGGGCTAAGACTCCTTTTTTTGTATAAGCAACCTCTCCTGGGTCGAGGGCTTCTGCCTGCTTTTCTAAGGGAAAAGTATCCAGGGAAGGCATTTTTATGCCTATTTTAGAGATGAGGGAACTGAGGCTCGGCCAGGCTCAGTGACTTTCTTAAAGACACAGACAGGATATGACAGAACAGGACCCAGCTCTCTTGAGGTGGGAAACTGGCCTTAAGTAGATGGCTTGAGGGGAAACCAGATGAATTCCCTGCCCCCAACTCCTGGCTCCGGGTTTGCAGTCCAGGCCATGGCTGGCCAGCGTCATGCTGGAGGTGATGCATGCGGAAGGGGAAAATCAGGCCCAGCCAGCCCTGGCACTCACCGGTGGGCCCGCCTGTCCCGACTCCCCTTTCTCTCCCTTTTCTCCCAGGCTCCCTGGGTGTCCGTCTTCTCCCTTTATTCCCGCAGGCCCAGGCTTTCCTGGGGGGCCTTGAGGGCCAGGAGGGCCCATGTCTCCTGGTTTGCCTCGAGGTCCCTTTAGAAAAAATCAACAACACGTATTAGATACACTAACAAAGAAAACAGGAGAGAGAACACAGAGGAATGGGTGGCCGACAGGACTTGGTTGGCTCTTCAGTGCTTGGCTGTCCAGCTCTCTGTGGGAATCCAAGGGGCCCTCGGCCGCCAGCTCCAGCCCATCCCAGTGTGGGTCTGCTGGCTCCTTCAGGGCCAGCACTGTGGGGCTCAGCAGGGTTTCTGCAGGGTGGGCCTCTCCTCCCCTCTCCTCCCCTCCCCTCCCCTCCCCTCCTCTTGTGCCAGTGACCTTTACATTTATTTCATTCTGGAGTGTACCACAGCTGTGTCTGCCCGAGGGGGGGCAGTCCCTTCCCTTCTCCCTTCCCCACAAGGCGCACACCTGGGCTTCTTCCTGAACCAAGGATGGGTACCTGCCGTGGATGAAACCCAGACACCCCCAGGGCACGGACCATCTTCAGCGCTTTATCTGGGAATGTACATTCTCACCTTTTCCCCATCGTGTCCTGGAGGGCCTGGCAGTCCAATCTCCCCCTGTAGCCAGAACAACTTAAGGTCACTTTCAGAGCAGAGAAGAATAATAGCTATCATTAACACAGCACTTCATCTGTGCCGGGAGTCCTTAGAAGGTATGTACTTGCATTGTCTCCCTTTCACAGGTGAGGACTCAGATGAAGATTCTGAGTTGTGTGCCCAAGGCTCATAGTTAGTGAAGAGTGGAGCCAGGATCTGAGTTCTCACCTGGATGCCAAATGAGGGGCCTCCGGCACTGACGCATCCCCCCTGACGCATCCTCCCCGAGAGGGATGCCTGCCTCCCTGTCCCCCCCCACCCCAACCTTCCCGTCCTGGCTCCCCTACAGGGAGCTCCTTTTATCTTCACATCAACCTAAGCCCCTTCTTCAGGTCAGGGAGAGAGAGAAAGGAGGCGTGGCCTCGTCGAGGCCAGGGAGCGACCGCTGTACCACCAAGGCAAAATGATGTAGGCGCTACGAGAAGAGCAGAGAGGAAAGGGCAGTGGATTCTGCCTGATAGATAAGGGGCTTCAAGGAGGTGGTAGCTTTTGAGTTGGGCTTAAAATATGAGGAATTCGAAAGATAGGGAAGAGGGGAGGGGACTTCAGGGCAAGGAGCTCATGAACAGAGGGCAGAAAAGCAAACGTGCACGGCCTTCTAAGAAAAATCACAGGGGTTGGGAGCACAGTGTAAAAGGCAGGAAGCAAGAGGGGGCGATATTGGGGAGGGGTTCAAGTGCCATGTTCTCTGATGGCAGGTTGGGGTCCCCGCTGTGGGTCTGGGTGGGGCAGGGTCTGGTGGGCGGGCTCCACCACTCCAGGGGAGGCCTGTGATTATAGGAACCCAAGACACGCAGCAAGGGAAGAATGGCAGAGCCAAGGGTGGGAGGAGTGACGGTGGCTGTGATGTAGGCCATCGGGGACCGCGATGCCTTGGTGCTTGAGAGGAATCACCGGCCAGAGTGAGGTGGTGGCTCTGGGAAGATGAGAGGGTCACAGGACCAAGAGCGGCACTGGGGTCCCGTGCTCAGACACACACACAGAACCTCTGTAGGGTCTAGATCCCCCTTGTCAGAATGTGAGTTACCTTCTGGCCTGGGATCCCTGGAGCTCCAGGTGGGCCGATTTGCCCGGGAAGACCAGGGGGACCCTAGGAAAGAAAAGAAAGACTCAAGGAAGAACTTGCTGACCAAGGAAGGGTGGCCCGTCACCAGAGGGGTGTATATAGAAGCTGGAACACTTTTTTGCAAAGAAAATAACGTGGGGACTCCACAATGTAAAGTAGATAAGCACTGAGCGTGTCTGGGTTACAGAGGATGGCGGGGACCCCAGAGCCATGCCCCACAGCCTCTCCCTCCTCTCTCCTTAAGGCACCGCTGGGGGCTCCAGGGCCCCAAGAAGACAAATCTGACCTTCCCTGACAGTGATTTAAAAATATCTCCAGAAAACAATCCAAATGTCCATCAACAGGTGAAGGTCTGGTACCTCCATACAATGGTACGCCGCTCAGCGGTGAAAAAAGAACCAAGGATGGATACTAGCCATGGATGAAACCCGGACACACTGTGCTGAGCAAAGAAAGCCAGATGCAGAGGACTACACACTGTGTGGCTCCATTCATAGGAAACTCTAGAAAAGACACATCAAATCTATGGTGACAGAAAGCAGATCAGTGGTAGTTTGGGACTTGGGAGTAGGTGTGAGATCAACTCCTCAGGCCCACAAAGGAAATTTTTGGAGTGATTGGGAGTGGTGGATGCATGGGTATATGTGTTTGTCAAAACTTAGCAAACTCTTCACCTAAAGGGGTACATTTTGTTGTATGTAAATTATACCTCAGTGTTGATTTTAAAAGAAAAAAAAAAGTGTTTCCAGGAGAGTTTTGCTTCTTTTATATACTTAAGCTATTTTAAATAATACGTTTTAATGCTTCCAAATGAAGCGCATTGATTCCAGAATCATGTGGTTAACCCCAGTTTCTGGGACTGGAGCATCTTATGACTGGTGCCTGAATCTGGGTCTCTGTCATCCCTGTGTTGTGTGGCACATGGTCACGAAACACATTAAGTGAAATGAAATGCGAGTAGTTTGAGAACTTTGTGGTCTCACCCCTCTCCACCTGGAAGTTCAATGTGGTGGTAGTATTTTAACTACACGTATTCACTGAGGGCTGTTACCGATAAGCGCGTATGCAAAACAGGCTTGGAATTCACTGGTTTCCAGGTGTAGTTAATGGAATCGATTTCTAGCAAAGGGGGAAATGTAGAGGGTTGCTACTGATTTTTTAGGATTATGCACTTTATCAGCTGAAGGTTGAGAAAAACGAGGAACATAAAAACGTCCCCCTGTATTTCCTTGACACAGCTGTACCAAGAACCCAGCATTTATACTGTCACGGGAGTACACAGCTGAACTGGTGACGAGCCACTTCAGCAGACAGCCATGACCCAGGGTGGGGGCAGCTCCTGAGACCCTGTGCTCAGGCTTGGATCGCCATGTGCCCTAGCGCTGCAGAGTCAGCCCTACCCCAGAAAGCCCACCGTCTCCCTTCTGGAGGCAAGTCTCGCAAGCCTTGCTTCCAGGCTGCCCTCCCCGAAGCCCCAGCCTGGTGCCCGGGGAAAGTGAAGAGGAGGAAGACTTACGATCAAGGCCAGCGTCCGGATCTCCTGAAAAATCAATACCATGCGGTCAGGTGAAGAGCAAGTCAAGAGTCATCTGTCAGGCCCCCTTGGCCCAGTCATAAAAAGTGGGAGGCACTGAGTGCCTCCAGGGAGCACAGTGCAGGCAGACCCTCTCAGGTGGGCTCTGTGCCTCCCAGCCCCATGCCACCCCAACTTCTCCCAGAGGTTGTAATCACTGGACAAAGAACATCCCATATTTCACCTAATGCTGCTCTGAGGCTGTCCTACAATGGAGTCAGACGAGCCCTCGAATGGGCTGCAAACTTTCTTTCACTTCGCCAAAGAGGAAGCAGCATCTCCCATTCTTTCTAGACGCTGACTGGGACCCTCCTTTGCTCTTCCCTCTTCCTTCAGAACCTAGATTTCAACGTACCACCCTTTAAACAAATAGACGCAGCATAGCGAAATATGGAATCACTCAAAAAATAATTAGACCAATGATTGTTGGCATTAAAAAGAATTGCACACCTTGTAAATGGATTCACACAGCAAGTTTCCTTTAAAGGAGCAATTCTCAACCTGGGGTGATTCGGCCTCCCTGGGGACATTTGGCAATGTCCGGAGACATATTTTAGTTGTCATAACTGGATGTGGGGTGTTAGTGGCATCTGGTGGGTAAAGACTAGACATGCTGCTCAACTTCCTACAACACAACGGACAGTGTTCCCCAAAACCCCAACCCAAAGATTATCTAACCCCAAATGTCAACTGTGCTGAGGCTAAGAAACCCTGCTTTAAAGGGTGGATACCATATGAACTTGAAATACGATAAAATTGACACAAAAAGGAGATGTGTAACAGGAAGACAGACGCTACCATGTGAAAGGGGAGTGTGTGTACTGAAGAAATGGGGTTCTAGAACCCTGGATGGGCTGACACCCCGTGGGGTGCTAGGATGCTCCAGTTATGGCTCTCAGTTACCCAGAGCCGGACAGGCCCAGATCGAGAGAGAGCCAGGCTACCTAGACGCCAAAAGAGGGCCTCCATTTGCCTGGAGGCTGCACAGTGGGAGGCGGAAGGAGAGAAACCGAGGGAGTGACTCTCCTGGAAGCCCTGCCCAATGGCCGGGCCTCAGGGACATTAATCTATGTATTGCAGGCTCCCTTCTCAGGGCCTTGGTGCAGAGTCTGGAGGCCCAGAAGCACGTCTAGATCGCAGGTCTCTGGGCCGACCCCCGCTCACCTGGAGAGCCTCGTTGATGTTTGCATTGTAATCCACCATCTCTCCTTTCCCTGGTTCTCCCTTGGAGCCCTATAAGAAAAATGAGATCTCAACCCAGGGCCTGGGCCAGGGGGACCTGACAACAACTGCTTCCTGTTATCTATCAAACATGACTGTAGCCAACACTGTCCGCCCCGGCTACACGCAGGTGGCTTCAGAGCAGCAAGATGGGGAGCCTGTCAGGGGATTCCACCTGCTCTCAGAGGATGCCCCGGAGTTCGACTCCATGTGAGAATGCTGGACCAGACTGACCTGGAGAAGACTGAGTCCAGTCATGGCTGCAACGCCTCCTATCAGGGGCCAGCATGCTCTTCCCCTCTCTTCCCTTCAAGACCTTAAGGGCTAGCTGCGTCACTCTGTGACCCCAGGGAGGTGCAATACTGTGCTGTGTAACTCTGGGTGAGACATGTACATACCTTGGGGCCAGCTGGTCCCTGTTCTCCAGTTGTTCCAGGCTCTCCCTATTGCACGACAAAATTGGAGTAAAATGGGGATAAAGCTGGGTATGAGAGAACCTGATGTCCCGTGGTGGACCATGCGTTAGGAGCCATGGAGAGGCCAGGAGGCTCATCCGAGCTCAGGCCAGGAGGACGCAGAGCTCCCCGTGCACTGAAGTGCAGGCTTCGCTCTATCAGGAGGCCTCTGCCAGGTCTCCTCACTCCTGTCCAGCTCCCTCCAGCTTTGTACTTAAGGATATTCTTCCTATCCTACATTAGTTGGTAGTGACTCCACCTGTATCTGTCTGGCCACCTCTCCCCAGCCCCCTAAGTCAGCCACCTCCTTGGGATCAGAAAACAGGCCTTTTGCTTCTCTTTACTTCCATTCTGCTTAGGTAGCTAGGGCTCAGAAACTTTTGCCCAATTGCCTGGGTCAATATTTGCCATGAAGGGCCCATGCGGTTCTTTTAGGGGCCCCTCTGCTTGTAAAAGACCCAAACTGTGGGATGAAACATGGAAGGAGTGGGGATAGAATGCATTAGGAGCACCCAGCCTCCCAAGCTGGTGAAGTGAGGGCATTCGTTCCTGTTGGAAACAGGACAGAATGATGGCGAATAAATGAAGCAGTGGCATCAATTGCGAAAACAAACTACAGTTCCAATTGTTCTGTGATGATGCTAACATTGAAGACAATTTACAAAAATAAAATAGAAAGTAAAAATTGAGGAAAAACAAACTCTTTAATATAACTCAACTTCTGATGACCCTGCAATTGGCCAGCTCATGGAACATTTAGCCACTGCCACCTGCAGGTCACCTGCCCCTTTACCACCCTGCTCCACAGTATTTCAGTTTATCGTGCTCCTGTGAGGCACGTAGCAGCACCCACCCAACCCTTCCATAGAGAGTAGCTGAGAAAAGTGTAGGTCTACCAGTGGCTTAAAAGCTAACAGAGCAGGGCCTCTGGGTCACCCCCCAGCCCAAGCATCCTGTCCCTGGGCCAGCCTTCCCATGACTGCTGTCTCCATGGAGAGACAGCAGGCAGGAGTCGTGGCACCTCAACCTTGTGCCCTGGGGGTCCAGCCGCAGGGATGGCTAAGACTGCTCATCTCTGAGCTGAGGCTTGAACTCCCAAACTGACTCTTATCCTGCTGCATTCAGATCTGGTGGCCTCCGTACCTTGTCTCCCTGCTGTCCTGGGGGGCCGGCCTGGCCATCAACACCAGCTTCTCCCTGGGGAAGAGGAGAGATGGGATGAGGTCATGCAAGGCAGCTTGGACAGCTGCTCAAGGGGGAAAAAGATGGTCCTGCTGTTGATGTTCTGAGTCCTAAGTGTCT